CAAGGGGTTGCCACATGTTGCTCCATCACCCAACGAAAATTTGGGGAAAAGTTAGAGCCGGTCTAAGATACGAGAATAAATATTAAAGTCAATGGGGAAATTTTAGTGATCTGTAACCATACGCAAAACAATTTACATCAGGGGAGGTAACTCCATTTATAAGTAAAATAAGTGTAAAACTATCTTCGTCAATTAATTTCATATACATTTAATTTCAATCTTAAATTTTAACACTAAAATACATAAAATTAGTTGATGTTCATTCAGCAGTAAAGTACAATAAAGATTAGTTAATGTACAATTTTATTGCGATTTTTAAGTGGTTACATTTTGCCACTACGAATTTTCTAATATGAAATGTAATTATTCTTTTTCCATACAGTGATCGTCACCCATTTTAATAGTTCCCGCTATAAAATAAATAGATGACACATTTATTTGAATGTTTGTAATCCACTTTTAGTGGATTTAATAAACCAAAAAAAAGTACATGACCTCAGTCGTAATCCTTTCTATTTGTGTCCCCCTGTTAGCATCTCGGCTTTTGCTTTTGGTAAATATTCATTGTTATTTAATGGAACCATATGTTAGTCCCGAAATGATTTAGTTTGTGTCGGGTGGACTCCCCCCCCCCTTTCTCTCTCTTCCTCTCTCTCTCTCTCTCTCTTTTGTTCTTACGTATTTGGAATCTAACCTCAAATCAGATAGAGGGAGCCACGGTCGAGTGGGCGTTACAGACATCTTATAAAATCAGTGGAAACCATACATTTGGAAGAGGAAAATGGGCGAAATGGTACCCATTATACTACCCAACAACAAGCTAATAAAATGATACTGGAATTACTGGGTGGCCCAATGGTTAATTCGTGCACGTTTGTTCAAGGGTCTGTCATTGAGTTAAGTGGCGTGGTTTTGATTTTACGCTTATACGTGACAAGGAGTTGGGTCGCCTGTCTTACCTCGTTGTTTTCTCCGGTTTTCTCCCACTGCTAAAGCCCCTAAGCGCAAGCGAATTATTGAAATAAAATGGAACCATATGTTAGTTCCGAAATGACCTAGTATGTATCGAGTGGACGTTAAACTCCACTTCTCTCTCATGCGTGTTTGAGCACGAGATCAGTTCTTGGCGTGGTTTCGATCCCCCGCTTGTACATGAGAAGAAGTAAGGTCCCCTGACCAAGCGAATTATTGAAATAAGATTGAACCATTTGTTAGCCACGAAATGACCTAGTTTGTGTCGAGTGGACGTCTCTCTCTCTCTGTGGTCTGTGGGTCAAATGGCGTGGTTTCGATACCCCGCTTGAACGTGACAAGAAGTAGGGTCGTCGCCTGTCCGGCTTGCTCCGGGTCCACCGTTTTTCTCCCACTGCTAACGACCCCTACGCGAGAGCGAATTATTGAAATAAAATTGAACAAAATTTTAGTCCCGAAATGAGTGGAGATAAATTTCAGGGGAGATAAATCCATTTATGAGTAAATTAGGTGTAAAAGTATCTTCGTCAATCAATGTCATATACATTCAATTTCTATCTTAATTTTTAACACTAAAATGTATATAATTAGTATATTTTAAGTCAACAGTAAAGTACATCAAAGATTAGTTAATGTGCAATTTAATGGCGATTATCAAGTAGTCATATTTTGCCACCATGAATTTTCTAATATGAAATATAGTGAATCCTTTTCTATACATTGTTCATTACCCATTTTAATAGTTTCCTATTAAATAAATAGATGACACATTTATTTGAATGTTTGTAATCCACTTAAAGTGGATTTAATAAAATACAAGATTTAGAATTTCATCCGCAATCTCCCACTGTCCTCTCTCTCTCTCTCTCTCTCTCTCTCTCTCTCTCAACCCCGCTTATGGAATTTCAAAAGTTGGTCGATGGATGCTGTTATCGAAAAGAAACTATTCCAAACCCTCGATGATTATTGTTTGAGACCATTCTTTTTTAATTTGCAAATGCATGCATATTTGTATATGCGTAAACGGGATGAGAACAAATTATACAATTTACGAATCTTCTCCCAGTGTAATCTAAAATATTTACAATTACTGAAATTTAATTTAATATATAGTTCTATACATTTATCACCCAATAATACATTCTACAGTCGATCGAGGATAAAGGTACCAATATTCAGAATCTGACAGATCAACAAGCCTACCCAGATACTACCATGTTCCTGAAGCAACGACTGCGAGTTTCACAACATCTGGTCGTTGCTTGTTTATTTCACAATTCTCGAACTTATAGTTATGTTATCTACAGACGCGTGAGCACCAGCGTCCAATCAGAGGTTGTGTCATCGTTTCAATAATTCGCTTGCGCGTAAGGGTCGTTAGCAGTGGGAGAAAACCGGGGCACCCGGAGCAAGCCCACGAAGTTGGACAGGTGACGACCCTACTCCTTGTCACGTTCAAGCGGGGTATCGAAACCACGCCACGTGACCCACAGACCTTACGATTTCACGTAAATTCTGTCTTTGTTATGTCGCTACAAAGAGTTCAGAAACCAGAGCTTACTCACTGAGTCACCCCGGATCCCTTTTAAAATAGAGTTTCCATGATCTTTAAACATACATTATGCAAGAGCTAAATCTGTATATTGCATGACTTTCTTTAGACCTGAAATGATTTCTAAATTATTAATTAGACATTAATTAACTTATCCAGGCCATAATCAACTCTAGATGGCCTCGCTAGCCTGCGATCTTAAGTGGATTGTGAGCCGATTTACTGCATAATTTTCCTTCTCGATTAAACGATTAAATGGATAATCGAGACTATGCTGTTTATCGTACTGACTTTAGTAATGATGACCGAGGCTAGGCAGAAATTTCATTCGCTTAGTTTTCGGTTCATAGTGGATCAATTTGATTGAAATTTTCAGCAAATTGCCTTTACGTTATCTAGTTTTAACTATTATAGTGAGAACTGCCAACTCGTTATCGAATCCCCCATAATGTATCTTTAAATAATGAATAGAATAATCAGATGCGACAATTTTATACAAAACTAGGTCATTTTGGGACTAACATATGGTTCGATTTTATTTCAATAATTCGCGTGCGCGTAGAGGTCTTTAGCAGTGGGAGGTAACCAGAGGACCCAGAGAAAACCCACGAGGTTGGACAGGCGATCTACTCCTTGTCATGTACAACCGGGGATTCGAAACCACGCCAGTTGACTCAATGATAGACCCTGTGTTCAAACATTCGGCCACCCAGCCCCGAGGGAGAGGAGAGAGAGAGAGAGAGAGAGATGAAATTCTAAATCTTGTATTTTATTAAATCCACTTAAAGTGGATTACAAACATTCAAATAAATGTGTCATCTATTTATTTAACAGCGGGTACTATTAAAATGGGTAATGAACATTGTATAGAAAAGGATTCATTATATTTCATATTACGAAATTCATTGTGGCAAACTTTGACCACTTGAAAATCGCCATTAAATTGGATATTAACTAATCGTTAATGTACTTTATGCTGACTGACAATCTACTAGTTTTATGTATTTTAGTGTTAACAATTAAGATAGAAATTAAATGTATATGAAATTAATCGACGAAGATATATTTACACTTAATTTACTCATAAATGGATTTATCTCCCCTGAAATGTATCTCCACTCATTTCGGGACTAACAATGGTTCAATTTTATTTCAATAATTCGCTTGCGCGGAGGGGTCTTTAGCAGTGGGAGGAAAACGGGAGACCCGGAGTAAACCCATAAAGTTGGACGACCCTACTCCGAGTCACGTTCAAGCGGGGTATCGAAACCACGCCACTTGAACCACAGACTTTATGATTCCCCCCCCCCCCTCTGGTTGTATGTGACAAGAGTACCTCGAAGGTTTTGTCCGGGTCGTCCCGATTCCTTCCACTGCAAAAGACCCCCCACGGGGCGAGAGAGAGAGAGAGAGAGAGAAAGAGAGAGAGAGGGAGAGAGAGAGATTGTGGATGAAATTCTAAATCTTGTAATTTATTAAATCCACTTGACGTGGATTACAAACATTCAAATAAATGTGTCATCTATTTATTTAATAGGAAACTATTAAAATGGGTAATGAACATTGTATAGAAGAGGAATAATTAAATTTCATATTAGAAAATTCATAGTGGCAAAATGTGAGCACATAAATATCGCCATAAAATTTCACATTAACTAGTCTTTAATATACCTTACTGCTGAATGAACATCTACTAATTTTATGTATTTTAGTGTTAAAAATTAAGATAGAAATTAAATGTATATGCAATTAATTGACGAAGATATTTTTACACTTAATTTACTCATAAATGGATTTATCTCCCCTGAAATTTATCTCCACTCATTTCGGGACTAACATATGGTTTAATTTTATTTCAATAATTCGCTTGCGCGTAGGGGTCTTTAGCAGTGTGAGGAAGCCCATGAAGTTGGACAGACGACAACCCTACTCCTTGTCACGTTCAAGCGGGGTATCGAAACCACGCCACTTGACCCACAGACCTTATAATTTTACGTAAATTCCCACTGAGCCACCCCGGCTATCTTTTAAAATAGAGTTTCCGTGATTCGACAAGAGAGAGAGAGAGAGGGGCGGGGAGAGAGAGGGGCGGGGAGAGAGAGGGGGGAGGGACTCATGTATTCATTATTGAGTTACATTTGATTTGTGTGAGAGAGAGAGAGAGAGAGAGAGAGAGAGAGAGAGGCGTCCACACGACACAAACTAAGTCATATTGGACTAACATATAGTTCGATTTCATTTCAATAATTCGCGTGCACGTAGGGGTCTTTAGCAGTGGGAGGAAACCGGGGGACCCGGGGAAAACCCACGCGGTTGGACAGGTGATCCTACTTCTTGTCACGTATAAACGTAGAATCAAAATCACGCCAGTTGACTCAATGACAGACCCTGTGATCAAACGCGCACCCATTAACCATTCGGCCACCCAGCCCCGCTAAGAACGAAGAACACACAAGTACTTGACGGTATCATTTTATTAGCTCGTTGTTGGGTACCATTTAGCCGATTTTCCTCTTCCAAATGTATGGTTTCCATTGATTTTATAAGATGTTTGTAAAATGTTTGAGCTGAGTTGACGGTGTTGATTTGGTTGTTGACCTCCGATAAACACATTAACAGTACCTGCAAAATGACATAGTATTTATAGTGTGAGAGAGAGAAAATAGGGTTTAACGTCCACTCGACACAGACTTGGTCATTTCGGGACTAACATATGGTTTAATTTTATTTCAATAATTCGCTTGCGCGTAGGGGTCTTTAGCAGTGGGAGGAAACCGGAGGACCCGGAGAAAACCCACGAGGCTGGACAGGCAACCCCACTCCTTGTCACGTACAACCGGGGATTCGAAACCACGCCAGTTGAGTCAATGACAGGCCTTATGATGCAGCGCGCACGTGCTAAACATTCGATCATCCACCCCCCCCCCCCCCGACATAGTAGTGTTCAAGTGCAATTTTTGTGTATTTTCTTGGACCTTCGTGATTGATTGAATCAATGAAGACAGGAATATTATTGGTTGTTAATATTTCTCTATTCTTTAGTTAACAATAATCAACATAACTTACAGTAGACAATTAATGTAACAAATATTGATCTTCTTGGAACAGGGGGGGTTGGATGGCTGAATGGTTAGCGTGCGGGCGCTGTATCATAAAGTCTGTCATTGAGTCGACTGGCGTGGTTTCGAATCCCCGGTTGTACGTGACAAGGAGTAGGGTCGCCTGTCCAACCTCGTGGGTTTTCTCCGGGTCCTCCGGTTTCCTCCCATTGCTAAAGACCCCTATGCGCAAGCGAATTATTGAAATTAAATTAAACCATATGTTAGTCCCAAAATGACCTAGTTGTGTCGAGTGGACGTTAAACCCCATTTCTCTCTCTCTTGGAACAGGGCCAGGTTTCACGAAATTTTAACTAAAGATAAAATCCAAATTTTAGTAGATACTTCAATTTTCATTGGCTAAGCACTAAAATCAATCTAATATTATCCAATCAAATTACTAAAATTTGGATTTTATCTTAGTTAAAATTTCGTGGAACAGGACCCAGGTTTCTAGAAAGCTGCCCTCTAATTCTGTTATTTGGGTCTATACAACCCCATGCATCGCCTAGGGCATTAATCCTATAAATCTATCGTCTATACAAACAATACACCGTGGTAACTTAAAAACGCTTTAGCCAATAGACGTTAATTACAATTTATAAGCCCAATTTAAAGTGTAAAACAAAAAATTTAATACTGGAGACAGTAATTGAAATGAACTGAACTGAACTGATTAAAGAAATATATAAGACAATATGAAATAGATATAAATGGGGGGTAATTAAGGTGGATTAAGATCCATTAAAATATAGTTTACTGAATTGAGTAATACTGTGCAGATTAGCACGACGTATTAAACATCTACTATCGGGTCTTATTTCACCCTACTACAGTATCATTATCACACGTTCACCCCCCTCCTCTGTTAACTTAATTTAAAAGTTGCTTTATTGCTGATGAGCAAGCTTGATCGCGAGGTCTTAAAAATATAACAAATGAAATGGGGTTTAACGTCTTACTGTTCTGCTCCGATTGGGCTAATGAAAACGGGCATACGCCATACAGTGTGCTATGAGAGAAGTTTTGCCCGGACAGCGGCACTACGGCCTACTCTTATATCGAATTGCAGCTGTCACGGAATCTTTTACGTGCACGCCAATGTGTACACGGGAGCTCGGGTTTTCGTCATGCCCTCCGTCCTGCATCACTGACAAGGGGGAATCACGCATGGAAAATCTGAATGAACTTTCTCGGCCAATGCAGGGATCCAACACCCGACCTCCGGGCTAGCGAGCCAGCGTCTTACCCACCGTGATCGCACAAAAATATTACAAGAGATAGTTTATAGTCTGCTAAGTTGGAATGTGCTGAATTCCCTGTTGTTGTTGTTCTTTATTACAGATTTAACGTCCAATACATTAATATGATATTATGAACAGGTTGATTTAATTAAATTATTTACACTTAATGGGTTTAAAATTGGTAAAAACAAAAACGTCAGTGTATATCAAAAGTCACCTAAAAATTGGTAAAACACAAAATAAAACAGTTCATGTATATCAAAAAGTCAAATTAAACTTATAAAATCGCTGTCGTGAGAAGTACGGTGGCTAAGGGACATGAAAAATAATATAATTTGTTTTTTTTTAATATTCACCCAAGTCAATTTTAATATAATTTTTTTTTTATAATTTTCACCCAAGTCAATTTTAATATAATTTGTTTTTTGTAATTTTCACCCAATTTAAGTCAATTTTAATATAATTTGTTTTTTATAATTTTCACCCAAGTCAATTTTAATTTCCACCCAAGTCGATTTTAATATAATTTGTTTTTTATAATTTTCACCCAAGAGAGGGGCGGGTCGTCTTCTCCCTTTGTCATATTAAAAAAAATCAGTAGGTCCGGACTGATGTTTGGCGCCATGAGTGCGGATAGAAAAAAAACCCGTGGGGGGAAAGATTCCGCTTACGTTTTGTGGAAAAGCGAAGTGCTCGCAGTAAAAAACACAGTTAATTAGACCCGTGGATTATTTACATATCAAAAAGCTGAATTCCCACTTAGCATGCCTATTTAACGACAGCCAACCATTATGTTCATCTTCTACCGATGATTGGCTAAGAGCTGTCACGTGATTTAGATCGCCCCAGCTGCAGGCTTTAATCGCCCGTATTGTTTAATTTAATCATTTAGTTCTGGCTGAGTAATGTGAAACAATAGACTGACTATTAAAATCCCATCTTGGGTAAGTGTACTTAATTTATTACACAATGGGTATAGAGGGGTGACAGGTCTGTATCGACACTGCTGTGAGTAACTGCTTGATTCACACCCTTCTACAATAAGTAGACTTCAGTTGATAATGCTATTTTAATAGAATTTGGTTTTAACCATAACATAGTTTTTGATTGATATAATAGTATTTTAACAGAATTGGTTTTTAATCGATATTAGTATGTTAACGAATTTAGTTTTTAATTCCCGATATTATTTTTACATAATTAGTTTTCAATTAATAATCGTATTTTGACAGATTAGCATAATTGATTTTGAATTGATAATCGTAGTTTAACAAATATTTTTGTTAACTGATAATATTATTTTAAGATAATTAGTTTAATTGATAATAATATATTTTAACATAATTAGTTTTAATTGATAATACTATTTTGACAGAATTAGTTTTTATTTGATAATGATATTCTAACATAATTAGTTTCAAAACGATAATATTTTGACAGAATTACTTTTTAATTAATAATAGTATTTTAACTTCTAATTGATAATAATATTTTAACATAATTAGTTTTTAATTGATAATAATATTTTAACATAATTAGTTTTTAATTGATAATAATATTTTAATATAATTAGTTTTTAATTGATAATAATATTTTAACATAATTAGTTTTTAATTGATAATACTATTTTGACAGAATTAGTTTTTATTTCATAATGATATTCTAACATAATTAGTTTCAAAACGATAATATTTTGACAGAATTACTTTTTAATTAATAATAGTATTTTAACTTCTAATTGATAATACTATTTTAACATAATTAGTTTTTAATTGATAATAATATTTTAATATAATTAGTTTTTAATTGATAATAATATTTTAACATAATTAGTTTTTAATTGATAATAATATTTTAACATAATTAGTTTTTAATTGATAATAATATTTTAACATAATTAGTTTTTAATTGATAATAATATTTTAACATAATTAGTTTTTAATTGATAATAATATGAACATACCTGGAGCAACTATCCAACCATTGTTATCATTCCATAGAGACATACTCTGACCATGAATAATGAAATGAACAGTTTTCTTTTCTCCCTTGCGAAGATGGGTTCTGTGGAAACTGGCCAACTGAATATTTGGTGCTGGTTCTGATGGATTGACGAATTTAACATAAACTTGGGAAACCTAAAATAAAATATATATATACTAGCCTCAGAAATCACGAGAACAAAATTGAACAATGAAGGTTGAAAAATGAATGAATGAAATGTTGTTTAATGGCACGTCAGCTCCAACCGGGCTATATTGCGCCAAACATATGGTGAGGTTTCTCAAGACAAACTAGAAACAATAAATCGCAATATTATCTATATATACATAAATAAAAACAAATATCACAGTAAATATCACATAAAAATAAATATCACAAACTTTATGTATATAATTATATATTTAAAACATAAAAGAGAAAATCGGGATATATAGCGCTTTGCAATATAGACCCGGTTAGGCAAACAACTGATGTAGTGATTGGCAACGGTAATACCGTAATCTTGTATCTTTGAGATGCTTGCACTCAATCAAAATGTGCTTAACTGTCAAAGGAACATGACAGTGTTCACATTCTGGTTGGAAGGTTGAAAAAGGATTTTGGAACATCAACAGATCAATGTGTGACGATGATAGGACTTTTCAGGGGCCTGTTTCACAAAATTTTAACTAAGATAAAATCCGAACTTTAGTAATTTGATTGGATAATATTAGATTGATTTTAGTGCGTAGCCAATCAAAATTGAAGTATCTACTAAAATTTGGATTTTATTTTTAGTTAAGATTTCGAGAAACAGGGCCCTGAACTCTAGTAGCAAGGGGTTCTGTTACGGGGACATACATATGTACAACAGTGGATATTTACATGTCATCCGAACAAAATACCTGGAAATTATAACCAAGCGTGCTCGACTCTACGCGGCATTTTTCGATAGTCCCAGGTCCCAGATACAATTCTTGTCATGTTTCTAGCCTGTTTATAATTTCAAGTATAAATACCCCATTAGCTTCAAGGTTTCCAGTATTTTCCATATGTAATGAACCCTGAATACGATCTCCAGCTTGGACTTGGACGATGGTGATTTGGGGTTTCAATGTTGTGTAGGACAAACCGTAACCGAATGGGTACAAAGGTGTATATGCGATTGCATGGGCTAAATCTTATAAGGATATATTACTGGACTCCGGCTAATATTTAATCTGGTGTATTTAGCACTTATTTCTTTCACATTCATTCAATATCAAATCTTTATTTAAAATCATCTAATTTGTACTTGCGTCCAGTTTAAAGCTAAACATTCAATTTTGATAATGCATGTCCAATTTACAAACGTTTAATTTCTCGATCACTGTTAAAAAATAAATTTATTATTGATGTATAATGATTAATTTTTAAAGAGTGGTCACGAAATTAAATACTTGTAAATTGGACACTCATTATCAAAATTAATCAGTCAGCTTTAAACTGGATACAAGTACAAATTAGATGATTTTGGGTGATTTGAAATGTTTATTTTACGAATCTTTAAAGAAATATTTGATATTAAACGAATGGGAAAGAAATTAGTGCTAGATACACAAGATTAAATGATACCCAGGTTACAGTGTATATTACCCCAAGAGAGAGAGAGAGAGAGAGAGAGAGAGAGAGAGTTTAACGTCCACTCGACACCAACTAGATCATTTCGGGACTAACACCTGGTTCAATTTTATTTCAATAATTCGCTTGCGCGTAGGGGTCATTAGCAGTGGGAGGAAACCGGAGGACCCGGAGAAAACCCACGAGGTTGGACAGGCGGCCCTACTCCTTGTAACGTACAACCGGGGAATCGAAACCACGCCAGTTGACTCAATGACAGACCTTATGATACAGCGCGCACGTGCTGCAACTCCCCTATATTACCCTATCAGCATCAAGTGGTCCAGAAATTTCAATATCGTATTAACCATGGCTTGTTTCAATTTGATGTAGGACGGGTAACCGAACGGGTGTGTTTAATTCTTATTAGAATATATATTACCTCGTCAGCATCAAGTGGTCCAGTATTTTGTATATCGTATGAACCTTTAACATGACCTCCAGCTTGGACGGTGGTGATTTGAAGTTTTAGGTTGGAGTATTTAAATGTTGTGTAGGACAAACCGTAACCGAATGGATACAGAGGGTCATATGTAATATATCGGTATGTTCTTTCTTTCATCGAGTAGTCGGTCATAGGTGGAACCTAAAAGAAAGAAAAATTTAGTCCAATTTTGAAAGACCACAGTGAATTGTTTTGTCGAACACGACATTTTATTTTTATTTAATTTACTGTGGTTATGTCTGCAATGCGAGATAAGTGAATTATGACCGAACAGTAGCGTTTCGATTGCACGAAGTTAAGACAACTCTCATGTATGTCATCCCAGGCAAGACGAGAGAGAGAGAGAGAGAGAGAGAGGTAACGTCCAGTCGACACAAATTATGTCATTTCGGGACTAACACATAGTTCAATTTTATTTCAATAATTTGCTTGCGCGTAGGGGTCTTTTAGCAGTAGAGGGGGGGGGGCGGAGAAAACCCACGAGGTTGGACAGGCGACCCTACTTCTTGTCACGTACAACCGGAAATGAAATGAGGTTTAATGTCCTACTGTTCTGCCCCTACTGGGCTATGAAGACGGGCATACGCCATACAGTGTGCTATGAGGGAAATTTTGCGCGAGTAGCGTCACTATGGCCTACTCTTATATCGAATTCCAACTGCCAAGGGATCTTTTACGTGTACGCCAATGTATACAGGGGTCCTCGGTTTTTCGTCCTTTCCGAACGACTAGACAGCTGTCCTTGTCAGACCCTCCCTCCTGCATCACTGACAAGAGGAAAACACGTCGGAAAATCCCGATGAAGTTGCTCGGCCAATGTCATCCGAGACAACCGCGACAGATGATATGATCTTCCACACTCCCGTTAGACCACTCCAAACCCCCTTTAAACATTTTAAATAATACCACCTTTGACAGATCTGTCATCCAGGTCATTGGTAGCCGACCAGAGAAAACATCTCCTGGATGTGCGTGAGAAATCAATCTTCTCAAAGCTTCTCCGGTAGCCTGAGCAGGGTAAAACATTTGTATAATGGCGGCGACTTTGTCGTTTTTATCAAATTGTTCAATATCCAGTGGTCCAGCACTCATTATAAGAAGAACAATTTTGGTATTATGAGGACCTGAAAATAGAATTGACTTTTAGAATGGACTCGCACATATGTAGTTAATTATACATAACTATACATTATACATAACTAATTAGAATGGACTCGCACATATGTAGTTAATTATACATAACTTTTGTTTTTACTTCTTACCAGTATATATATATGTTAAAGCTGCTATATCGACGTCATAGAGTTATAGGGTCGTAAGTGCCAGTTACGACTCAAAACCTCTTGTATCTGCATCTTCCATCAAAGAACTGATGTTCTGTCATTCATATATTCCGAACAATTCACAAAATAAAATTGTCGTATTTGATAGTTGCTGGCTTATTTATATTTTAAAGGGTATAACCTAGCCGTTGACCCGGTAGAAATGAAATGAAATGAAATGAGGTTTAACGTCCTACTGTTCTGCTCCGACTGGGCTAATGAAGAAGGGCATACGGGTAGCGACACTATGGCCTACTCTTATATCGAATTCCAACTGCCAAGGGATATTTTACGTCCACGCCAACGTATACACGGAGCCTTGGTTTTTCGTACCATCCGAATGACTAGACATCTGTCTAGTATCGACTGAGGGGTGAGAGGTCAATATCAGGACAGACCACGGGGAAATTATCTCTTTGATCCTTATTTTGGATATGAGCCTCTCGTGGGGTCATCAGAGGTCAATTTCAAAGACATAGTTGTTCCGTGATATTAAAGATACATTATGGGAGATTAGATAAAGAGCTGACAGTCCTCACTATAATAGTTAAAAACTAGATAATGTAAAGGCCATTTGCTGAAAATTTCATTCAAATTGATCCACTAAGAACCGAGAACTAAGCGATTGAAATTTCCGCCTAGCCTCGATCATCATTACTAAAGTCAGTACGATAAACAGCATAGTCTCGATTATCCATTTAATCGTTAAATCGGGAAGGAAAGATATGCATTAAATCGGCTCATAATCCACTAAAGACCGCAGGCTAGCGATGCCATTTAGAGTTGATTATGGTCTGGATAGGTTAATTAATGTCTAATTAATACTTTAGATAACATTTCAGGGCTAAAGAAAGACCTGCAATAGACAGATTTAGCTCTTGCATAATGCATGTTTAATATTAATATAAGGCCTCTATAGTCTAAGGGGGGATCGCGTGGCTAAGTGGGTAAGACGCTAGCTCGCTAGCCTGGAGGTCGGGTGTTCGATCCCTGCATTGGCCGAGAAAGTTCATCCAGATTTTCCGGCGTGGTTCTCCCTTGTCAGTGATGCAGGACGGAGGGGCTGACAAGGAAAGCTGTCTAGACGTTCGGATGGGACGAAAAACCGAGGTCCCGTGTACACATTGGCGTGCACGTAAAAGATCCCATGGCAGTTGGAATTCGATATAAGAGTAGGCCGTAGTGCCGCTGTCCGGGCAAAATTTCCCTCATAGCACACTGTATGGCGTATGCCCGTCTTCGTTAGCCCAGGTTAGGAGCAAAACAGTAGGACGTTAAACTCCATTTCATTTCATTTCATTTCATTTCTATAGTCTAAGGCTTCCCCTTCAAAAAAATTCACCGTCGGTCATTTATGATAATACACGATAACTTTGCAAATTATTGTATGGTATCGACCAAATCGTGAATTCATGTGCCTATACCACTTTGTCAACATGGTTACATGGCCATACCCAACATTCACCATTGTCACAGATGGCGAGAGAGAGACTAAGAGTGAGTGAACAGTGTAAAATCAGTGGTCCCATACCCGACGTTCACACACGGCATCAATGTTAAAACCATAATATATAATATATACTTACTATGTGATATAGAATCTTTAAGAATATCAATCTGATGACCAGGTATGTTTAAATCCCTTCTATCAGTACCTTCATGTTCTAATTTGTTACCTGTAAAATAAATTTTAATTATAAAAAACGAGTTAACAGGCTAATATTTTCGAGGTGTGTTTAAATCTGTTCTGTCTCTACTTTCAGAATATGGATTTTCCGAGGTGGTTCCCCCTTGTCAGTGGTGCAGGAAGGAGGGCCTGACAAGGACAGCTGTCTAGTCGTTAGGGTGGTATGAAAAGCTGAGGACCCGTGTATACATTGGCGAGTACGTAAAAGATCCCTTGGCAGTTGGAATTCGACTCTCTCTCTCTCTCTCCCTCCCTTCCTCTCCACTTTTCTCTCTCTCCAAAATATGTTGATCATTTGATTTTGTTTTAGGGCAGGTGTGCCGAGAGTATTCGTTTGACCGCAAGTGTTGAAATTGTGACGATTCCTAACTGTGGCGTATACTTTCTTTATATATAATTAACTCACCCAAACCAAGACACACGAAGACAACATCAGCGTTTTTAACGGCGTTCTGGATTCCACCCTGGTCATATTGATTGCAGTGAGTGTCATCTTTACATCCATTAACGGTATTAACTGTTTTAGCAAGGGCAGATAATCCATCTTTGATGGAGGATGAATATTTGCCCATTACATTTGGTGAGTAGCCACCGGACTGGTCGTGGATGTTGTCGCCGTGAGGTCCAACAATCTGGTAAAAACAAAGGTACAAAAATTAATTAAAACAAGTGCTGACTGGTTGACAAGGATTTCTGACAGGACGTGATTTTTCTCTGAAGTTACATCGTGTTTGTTAGAATTGGATAATATGCAAAAATAACGTCATATCAGACGTCACTAAGAAGTTAAGGAATGTCGACACAAATTCTGCAACGCCCCTTTCACGTCCCGATCTTCATACAAATACCGAACTGCGCAGCCATAGGTTTTCACCATTACAAGTAGGAATGGAATGGGCCGGAGGCTACAAAATGCAACCGTTAACAAATATTTAACTAGGTACCATTTGGCTATCCTAAAGACATTGAAACTGGAAACTAGAAGACCGTACTATTCAGCCAATCTTCCGACTCTGAAATAGGAAACTTAGGGCACTTCAGTTGGGTATTCTGAGAAACGAAATATACTCACAGCAATAGTGTCATATTTATGATTTTTATCGAGAGGTAAGAAACTATTATCGTTCTTTAACAGAACAAATGATTTCATGGCAGCTTCAAGTGCCAGATCTCTGTGAGCTTGACTCTGTACGACATCCATCCCGATTGATTTGTATTTAACGGATTGAGGTGGGTCGAACTCCCCGAGTCGAATTCTCGTATTCCATAAAGGTTTGGACATCTCTCTCACTAGATCTTCGGTGATATGGTTATTCTTTACAGCATCAACTGGAAATAAAGTCAAGTTAAATGAAATAGGGGTTTAACGTCCTACTGTTCTGTACCAGCTGAGCTACTGAAGACGGGCAATATGACAAATTTTCTTGATGCAAAGCAAAAACATTAATTGTGATATCACACATGTCTGTATCATAATCTTGCGCTTTGAATGCCAATCCCATCCCACCATCTTATGATAATCACCGGATCCACCCCTGCTTCCTCGTAGCCCAAACTAGGATTTCCAAAGCGAAACGTCTGGCCAAAAAGACAGAGAAAGGGCGTGTTGTACCTACCAATCGACATAAAGGCGTTGTCTGTATTACCCCGACAGTTGAGATTGGTACCAGCTTTCAAGCCCCCAGCAGCTACCTCTTCATAGTTTTTATAGTAATGGTTACTATGTACCATGGCCTCCATAGCACCGCAGTCACTGACGACATATCCGGTAAAACCCCAATCATTTCTTAATATTCCATTTAATACGTGATTATTGGCACACGATGGTACACCATTAACTCTATGAATCAAAGCGTGAAAATAAAGAAAAACAGTTGTGAAAATGTGTCATGTGGATGCAGTTGGCAACATCAATACGTTGCTTGCCCTTTAATGGATGTTACATACTAAACTTAGGCTGTCTGTCTACAGTTAACGAGAGAGAGAGATAGAGAGATTTAAGGTCCACAATCTAGGTCATTTCGGGACTAACATATGGTTCAATTTTATTTCAACAATTCGCTTGTGCGTAGGGGTCTATAGCAGTGGGTGAAAACCGGAGGACCCGGAGAAAACCCACGAGGTTGTGCAGGCAACCCTACTCCTTGTCACGTACAACCGGGAAATCGAACCGGCGCCAGTTGCATATACATAAACACATCAGCGAGTAATGGGTGACATATAATGCCCATATTGACGTATAACAATAATTACATGCACTTTCTATATAGATGTTTCAGTAACTATTCTGTGAACTTGTATTTACCACCAGAGTAAGTTGTACCACAATTTAACGAATTATATTTCGTCATTAAAGTACATTTGTAAGGCCGGGTATTATGTTTTTAAGGAAAAAAATCTCTCGGTTTATTACGTCATTTCACTAGAAAATGGCATAATTTTATATTACTGTTGTTCGCATTACCATCGCTCACTAACCAGGAGGACTCAGGTTCGACCCCAGTGTTGGCCAAGAATGGGTAAGGATTGGGCTTTCCCGTCTGGTGTTCCCTTTCTTGGTTTTTAAATTGTTGGTGTAGAAAAGTAAGGTTAGGTCTAGATATTAAGGCCAACTGCAGAGTTGGTCAAAGGCCACGGGATGTAAACAGTACTAGCGTGAACTCTAAACCTAACCCACAATCTCGTCAACAATCACACATCACATCTCGCGACTTTGACGAAATCTGCAGTTGGCCCTAATATTAAGACCTGGTCAGAAAAGAAAGACTTTAAACCCAACTTCATTTGTAAATAACCTGGGAAGGTGAGGGCGAATGGTTAGCGCATGCGCGTTGTATCATAAGGTCTGTCATTGAGTCAGCTGGCGTAATTTCGATTCCCCGGTTGTACGTGACTAGGAGTAAGCTCGCCTGTCCAGCCACGTGGGTTTACTCCGGGTCCCCTACGCGCAAGCGAATTATTGAAATAAGATTGAACCATGTTAGTCCCGATATGACCTAGTTTGTGTCGAGTGGACGTTAAACCCCATTTCTCTCTTCGTAAACAACTGCATCGTCGGTGTTAAAGGTGTTATTTGGGCACTTACTTGTTGTAGGCACAGAAGACACCTCGGCTTCCAGCATCAATACAAGCCTTGAATCCAGGTAGAAACGATGTTTGGAGATCTCTTTCCGATACCTGTATGTAAATACAGTATTATATTTAAAATGTTAACAACACGGGGCATAAATGGCGACTGTGTATTTAATTTTATTTGCCAGGGTGAAATACAAAGGGCCGTAACTCGGTCTAGTGGCCATGATGACATAATCTGATTAAATTACAGATCCCATTTCGTTTCCTTTTTTATAGTTCAAAATTTATTTTACTTGTAACTACACGCGTTCTGGGTGATCTGAGGGATTAATCAATGAAACGGTCTGTTACAGCCAGTTTTTGGCGTGAGGTACACGGAACTGTAGGTAACCCACCAGAAACATCAACGCTGATTGGATAATCAAATGTCTGATGTCATAGGTCAAAAGCCACTCGTATGACCTCTGTCGCGACCTTCCACTACAACCGGTCAGACCTTCATGTAGTAGAGGCCATCGAAAGTATAAAAAAGCGAAACAAAATACTTTGGAAAAGCTTCACCCATCCTTTTCATTGCACGTGTTACCATAGAAATAAACATCACTATATGTTAGTTTCACAATTACCTCAGTATTAAACCACATGTTTTACATGTGGTTAATCATTTACCTTGGCGTCAAACTGTTTTCTGTTGACGGGATAGTTGTCCGGACCACTTCCGGCCGGGTAATGTTTACAGCCGGCATTAGCCAAGAGATATTTATTATCATCGCCTTGAATACCATTTACAAAATTATGGGCATAGACAGATGCAAAATATGGATCTTCTCCCCAAGTTTCCTGAAATATTTATAAATAGATTATGAATATATCTGTCATTGAATAATCTATACTAATATTTGTGACTGTCGTTTGTCTGTCTGTCTGTTCGGGGTTGGCGGCTACACTAGGTCTGCCCCGAGTCTGAAATTTGGGGTATAGGGGTAGCTCGGACCGGGGAGTAACATAGGCCAGGTGGCGTTAGTCTACCACTTCTGGTTTCGGGGTTATGACCCCCGAGCGAAGCCGGGCATTCTTCTAGTGATAGATAATACTAAGCGATTTTCCGTTTGTGCTTGCCACAGAGCCAACAAAACCTTTGCTATATACATCTCAAGGGAATTTGCGCACGGGGCTTGGCAGGGTTAAATCATAAGATTTTTTTGTTTTTAATTTATTTGAGATATTCACATAACGATAAGACCCCTACGCGCAAGCGAATTATTGAAATAAAATTGAACCATATGTTAGTCCCGAAAAAAACTAGTTTGTATCGAGTGGACGTTAAACCCTCGGGACATCACTTTTTCGTCCCACCCGAACGACTTGACAGCTGTCCTTGTCAGGCCCTCTTTCCCGAACCACTGACAAGGGAAGCCACGTCGGAAAACCCCAATCGAATACGCGACCTCCAGGCTAGCGAACCAGCGTCCTACCCACTTATCCACCGTGGCTCTCAATATTTGTTTATGGTTACTTTACCCCGTTAAAAATATTGGTGAACTGCGTAAGGTGAATTGTTTTTTCTGTACATTCCAGGTGTTAATTGGCATATTTACTTCTTCGTAGCAGTGACTATTGCTGTCAATTCGGCAATACAGTGGATCGGTCGGATAGTGAGATTTTATATAACGATATATTGATTACTTACTGGATTTCTACCCCATCTAGGATCTCTGAATATATCTAGAGTTGGTGAAAAACAACTCAAACCTTTATGAATTCCATAAACTCCCTTTTTCACCCAGTCGTTGTTGGCGGCTCGGAGTTCAGTACCAGAAGCTCTGGCTACCCTCAACATCAAATTATCACTTGAGAAAAGAAGGCAGAGCAATGAGGAAGAGAGAGAGAGAGAGTTTTGTATTCATTATTGAGTTATATTTTATTTGACTCTACTTCGGTTTCTGATTGCTTTAACTACGACGAATGCTTTCCGATCAACTCACATACTGCTTGATCGCATGCAATAGCATTTCATTGCTCTATCATTGTCTATTGTCTTGATATAAATATGACATTCCATGACGTCATTTTAGTCCTTCTGCTTATATTCTAGTCTATATTTCTATGAACAGGACAAAGTGACGTCACGGATAGTTACGACTACCCACGGAGAACAGTGGAAATTACCAACGTTGAAATTTACCTGTGACAGGTAACATTGACATTCGGGATCATGTTATACTTATGGAAAGGATATGATGACATAATTACATGCATTATTTAAAATGTGTATGAAGCTTTTCCGGTGAACTTTAAATATTACTACCAGAGAATGGCCAAGAAAGATTTACAAAAAGCAACTTACTCCCAAGTAGCCGCTAGACCAATACTTGCAGGGAACGCTGTAGCATCATTACCAGTATTACCTCGAGCACAATTAGACCACCATTCATAATGACCTATCCCCAATCGTTTTATATCTGGCGCGGCACCTGCACCAATCGCCATCTGTTCCTGGAGTTCCTGAAGAGTCAGTCGTTGGACCAGATCATCAACTCGTTTATCAACGGATAAGTTCGGATCCTGGAACGGATATTTATTCCCATCTAGGATAAAGGTATGAAGTGTTATGATCTGGCAAGCCAACAGACATAGTCCAAGAAAAAATATTGTTCCCGTCATCTCTGGTTTGTAGAAAGACAGTGGGGTGATTCAGTAAAAAAAAAATATTTTTATGTTTATATAGGTAGATAACACAATGAGATCGAGCAGATAAAAAATGGTCGATTTTTGGTGATAGGGCTCCTTATCTGATATTTAAACTTAATTCAATTCAACATGGCGAAATTTGTGTCATATTTTTTGTTTAATTATATCAGGAATTTATAAAAATTGGTCGAATCGTGGTACTTATTCTTATTAAAATAACGTACTTTTTATATTCATTCGTTTTAGTACGACACGGGCCAAACATGTTTGCACTCGCACTACACCCGATTATATTTTATTACATACTTCGAGAAGGTATTTGTTGAGTAATAAAACCTTTTAGTAGTTTATCGAGGGCTGGCCGTCCTTACCGCACGGTACAAATATTATCACCACTAGAAGCAACAAATTTCAAAACAAGCCAGAACTCATACCAAAATGGCCGATTTATACAAATGAGTATTTAGGGGAATATTATCCCGAACCCTAACCCTTTTAAGAGAAGTAAAAACTAAATTAGACCCAAGTTCAGTCTTTTAAAAAGGGTTAGGGATAGGGTTCGGGTTAGTTATCCCTAAAATTCTCATTTATATAAAGCGGCCATTTTGGACTCCGGAAGCACCCGAACCTCGATAAACTACTAGAAGTTTTTATTTGTACCGCGCGGTAAGGACGGACAGCCCTCGATAAACTACTAGAAGGTTTTATTACTCAACAAATACCTTCTCGAAGTATGTAATAAAATCTAATCGAGTGCGCACTAATTCCCCCTCTCCTGGATCCGCGCCAGCAAATTTTAGTTCCTATGTTCTTGACATCTGAAATAAAAACTGAACCAACCTTCCTTTCTAATAACCTTGAAGATTAAAGATTAAAAATAATGAAATTTTGCTTTGCACGCCGATATGAACAATACAAATGAAGTCAGGTTATGCGAGAGAGAGAGAGAGAGAGAGAAATGGGGTTTTACGTCCATTTGACACAAACTAAGTCATTTCGGGACTAACATACAGTTTAATTTATTTCAATAATTCGCTTGCGCGTAGGGGTCTTTAGCAGTGGGAGGAAACCGGAGGACCCGGAGACAACCCACGAGGTTGGACAGGCGACACTACTTCTTGTCACGTACAACCGGGATTTGAAACCACGCCAGTTGACTCAATGACAGGCCTTATGATACAGCGCGCACGTGCTAACCATTCGGCCATCCAACCCTCCACAATTAAAAGCCAACCCTCCACAATTAAAAAGAAAACACAATGTCGAAGTCTGTAAGACAGAATCCAGTAACCGTTATCATTTGATACTATGTTACACATCTGCCGTAGCGCAACACCTCAAAAAGTAAATTGGGATAGTGTGAAAACCTTAGTCAGCAACATACACTGTAGATTTGGTAAAACCTTAGTCTGCAACATACACTGTAGATCTGGTAACATGTACTTTGGGGCTTTTAAACCGAGATAAATCGTTTGTTGGACGTGCTGTTGACCCTGAAAATTCCCCTGAGAGGCGTGTATAAATCATCGACCCGTTTATTTATAAGATGAGTCGTTTAATTTCCCGAGAGGCATGTAGAAAATCAACGTCCCATTTTTTTACGATCTGTTTAATTTTAGGTACCTTTTGATTATTTACAGGCATAAAAGGTGAATATATTATAATAGAAAAAATGCGCACCCATAGCGTGGCGGCAGTAGTGATATTATCCATTTAAAATAGTAATTCCGACACTGACAAATACATCGAAAATCGGTAAATCACATCACAGGTAATATATCTTCTTTAAATCACAAATGGGTTAACGTAGCCTTCTAATTATCTCTTTTTATGACTTTATTGACGGTCCGTTTCCACCCTTCAACTCTTGGTCGAATTTAAAAATGGTAATTCTCACGCTGACAAATGAGTTACACACTACATCGAAAATCCGTAAATCACATCCCAGGCAATATATATTCTTTAATTCAGAAACATTATTGGCGGTCCGCTTCCATTCTTCATCTAATGATTGAATTTATATACACGTCACCAGAAGTCAAAAAGTTGATGGAACTTCAAACAACTTTGCTGAATACATGTAGATGTAGCAGTGCGATAATCTATTTTGTACAGATCACTATAGACAAGCTGTGGCCCATTTTCAGACAGGTCTATCAGAATTAAGTCTAAATAGGTTAAAACATTATCAACAGGAAATATGCTTTAATGATTGCTGCTTTGATGACCTAGATGTTACATTACAGCATGTACTCTTATTATATTAAAAGATAATGTATGTTGGGAGGTCAGAACAGATATTTAGCTATGCTAATATCAAATTGTGTGTATTTGTATTTAGATGAATATGAAACATTTAAATCATAGACCGCCGTCTTTTAAAAGTGTTAATAAAAATCTGTCTCCTTAAAGAATCTTTCACTTAATCGAAACGTGATTTACTGGCAAAAGAACTTAACATTGCTCAACATTCGAGTTAGGGTTCTTACTTCAAAATAAAAAAAATATATAGGTTAAAAATGTATGACCAATCCGCAAGAGCGACACAAAACAAGTTGGTCCAGTTTCAGAGGAGAGACTTGGCTTAGTGTTATGAATTGTACGAATATTTCTCCCATTGGGAAATCTTGTGTGTGTGAAATAGCTTTATTTAACGCCCGCTTCCACCGAGGTGATATTATATGCACAGATAGAATAATTTACAAGGTGATTAGCGAAAATGGTGTACAGATTAGTGAAACATTTATATTATGTACATATAATAAATTTTGTTGGAACATATAATTGTATCCGTACCACGTGTTCTATTATAATATATTTTAGGTGGTTCATTTACGAAATGTTTAATATTTAACGCAAATCACCGTATATCAAAATACGCCGATCAATTTAATTGGCTTATAATAATAATAATTTAATTTTGATAAAGGGATTTCAAAATCTGAAATCGTTGTACACACATAAACCATTTAAATTTTTAACTTTACAATTTTAACTCAAAATGATTCAATTAGTAAAAGAAACTATAAATAAAACATCTGTAAGCCTAACAATTGACTTTGTCAAGATTGGGATAAGATATATCTAACGGTCAGCTCCAAAAGTCGTCAGCAGCAACCACGTATGTCTCTAGTATATTGCACTGGTCTTGATAAGCTTGGTAATTCTATGTAATTCCTCACAATCTGGTTACTCTTTTCCGCAAAAAAATATTTCGATGTTGTGCACTGTTTTACGACCTCCTTCCACTCTACCTACCCGATGATCACGTTTTGTCGCGAATAAACGTATAATAAGGTGTCCGCAAAATAAATTTCCCTTCTCTTTCATTGTTACCATGGATATGGTGCTTGGCAGCAAAAATTCCACGGTAGGTCAAGTTTGAGTTGTCCCTGGTTGTGTGAATCATTTTATATTCTTACATATCTTCTTGAGATGTTCTTAGCTGATGTTTATCCTTGATTTCTATCGGTATCGGATTTTCACGCTGGCCTGGGGGTTGGTGGTTCATGCAGATTTTCCGGCGTGGTTCCCCCTTTTCAGTTATGTAGGACGGAGGGTCTGACAAGGACAGCCGTCTAGTCTTTCGGATGGGACGAATAACCGAGGTCCCGTGTACTCATTGGCGTGCACATAAAAGATCGCTTGATTTCTTTCGGTATCGGTATTCCACATTTATATCCAGGTTTATTGCCCATAACGGAAGCAGCCCCACAACAGGCCATTATCGATGTCGTAGTTTTAATCGTGAAGTAATCGTGGTGATCCTATCATATATTGAGTCGTAGCAATCGTGTTGATTGTACCGAAACGTATCTGCACGTAGCAGATCGTAGACCCAATAGTGACAATCCTATCGTAACGCACTGCACAACAGTGGGAACCTCGCAGTATAGGATCAACCGGAAACTGAAAACCAACCGAAAGGGTGACGTTGACAGAATTTCAAAAAGTTTATTTTACAAATGGTGACATTTTAATAATGAATTTCTTACCTCAGTGACATGTATCACAGGTTGTCTCGACAGCCTTCTACTCTTTACCATTCCATCCATCAGAGTTTGGTTGTATCTTTCGAAACCATACATCCAGAAACTTTGGACATGTCCAAAACGCTGAATATAATAGGGCCAATGGTGGGCGATTTGAATTCTCAGTGTAGATACATGGGCGTTAGAAACAACATACCTGAATGGACACTAAGAAGCCCCGCTCGACTATCGCCAAAGCAACATGCCAGTTCTTTTCTACTGCACCCGCTTTTTCTGGTCTATTGAACAGCAGACTGAGGTTATAACACAGATTGCTCAATGTCTCCTGTTGTCATCTGTTTAATAACCCACGAATGCAGTAATTTAAAACACCAGCAGGCATAACCTGTATAAATAAAATGATCAAATGGTTTAACTTAAATACATCTAACCAATGTCCGGAAAACTAGACGTATATGTCTCTAACATATTGCATGGGTTGTAATGTGGGGGCGAATGGTTAACGCGTGCACTTTGTATCATTTAGTACTCCTAAAGAACATTATGCCTACCTACATCGGAGAAACGGGCACATGTCTAAGGGATAGAGTGCGCAATCATTGACGAGATTGAAAATGGGCCCTTATTTGTAAATATACACATAATAATGGAAAAACATTTTATTAAACAAAATACACCCCTTGCTTTAATAGTCAGTAAGTAAAAATGGTCCATTAATTTTCTTAATCTATCCCGAGATTATTTCCCCACTCATTATCCCAAAATTATACCCATTACAACAGATTAACATGTAATACTATAGGGGTTATTTTAGGTCTATGAAAGGTGCTCTGTTTAATATATTGAAGTGGT